TGAAAAAAATGTGCGGGGGGGGGGTGGAAATCGGAAGTTTGAGGGCGGTGGGAGGGTGCAAATCGAAAGTTTGAGGGAGGGGGGGGGATTTTCAAATCAAAAGTGGTGCAAATCGAAAGTCTGAACGAAAGAAGTCTGAAATCGAAAGTTTAAGGGGGTGGGGTGGAAATTGAAATTTTGAGGAGAGGGGGTGCAAATCGTAAGTTTGAGGGGGGGGGGGTGTCAAATTGAAAGTTTTTCCCCGGGCGCCGGAAAGGGTCGCTACGCCTCTGTTTTATAGTCATTCACTGTGTCAGACGCGTCCGGCGGCGCTCGGAAAGAGCGCGATTTGGCGCTACGGGCTAGACTGTGAGCAATATGCCTTTATGATTGCATTTAAATTGTGTTTATGTTATGAGTGTTGTGTTTGTTTTTTCTTTTGTGTTTTTTTTTCGTTCGTTTGTGTTGTGTTTAGTTTTGTTCTGTTCCCCAGTTGGTACATTTAAAAAAGATTTACCGTGGCGGAGCACGGGATGCAGCTAGTATCTATAATATAACGCTGCTGGTAGTGTGTCAGTCCTTCCTTCCTTCCGTCATCGCTATAGATTTTGGAACCATAAAAGTAAACATTCGCACCATGCTGTGCTTTTCAGTGCACCGCAGTGTCTTATTATAAGTATTAGAGTAGGGTTTGTTTATATAGCGGCATAGAGCTATTTTATAATTGCCACTGTTTGTACAATTTTGCATAACGTAAAGAGAATATTAAATACACGCACATTGCTAAAATATATTAAAAGGATCAATGTCAAATATCGTTTTCGTTAATATTCCTAGAAAAAAGTGGATACATTTTAATAACATAATAACTGTAGGTTAGAAAAATCTAATTAAACTGTTTAGTAATTTTGCCAAGGGAGGTATTTTAAAAATAAATTGAACTAACGCTAAAAATGTGAATGCAGAATCTGCAAGACGGAATAATTGTTGGAATAATATAATTAGCAAAATGTGAATGCAAATTATGCAGGCGTGTAAGAGTACATTATTGTTGGAATATTATAATTAGCATTGATTGATAAAAGGCTGTCTTTTATTTATTTTATTCACTGAATGTAATGTTTACTACTTATAATTTTTAATCAACTATTAAGCACTATTATAGACGCGTCATCACGTTCATTGGGTGCGCAATGGTTTTAGTTATGAAACTCTATTGTAAATTTTTAAAATTTAAAGTACTGGGGGAAAAAAATGCGTTAATTGATAAAGTGATATAATATGGTAGGTAAAACACGGATATTTTAAATACTGCTGGGGGTTTTATAGGAGAGGCTTAGAGAGGGGGGGGGACATATGTCCCCGGTTGCCGACCTAAGGGGGCGCCAAAGTGGGTTGGAAAAAAATTGCGGGGGGGGGGGGGTGGTGGAAATCGAAAGTTTGAGGGCGGTGGGAGGGTGCAAATCGAAAGTTTGAGGGGGGTGCAAATCAACAGTTTGAGCGGGGGGAATTTCAAACAAAAGTGGTGGAAATCGAAGGTCTGAACGGGGGGGGGGGGGTGAAAATCGAAAGTTTAAGGGGGTGGGGTGGAAATTGGAATTTTGAGGAGAGGGGGTGCAAATCGTAAGTTTGGGGAGTCAAATCGAAAGTTTTTCCCCGGGCGCCGGAAAGGGTCGCTACGCCTCTGTTTTATAGTCATTCACTGTGTCAGACGCGTCCGGCGGCGCTCGGAAAGAGCGCGATTTGGCGCTACGGGCTAGACTGTGAGCAATATGCCTTTATGATTGCATTTAAATTGTGTTTATGTTATGAGTGTTGTGTTTGTTTTTTCTTTTGTGTTTTTTTTTTCGTTCGTTTGTGTTGTGTTTAGTTTTGTTCTGTTCCCCAGTTGGTACATTTAAAAAAGATTTACCGTGGCGGAGCACGGGATGCAGCTAGTATCTATAATATAAGCGGGCTGAGCGTGTGTCAGTCCTTCCTTCCTTCTGTCATCGCTATAGATTTTGGAACTATAAAAGTTTACATCGCACCTTGCTGTGCTTTTCAGTGCACCGCAGTGTCTTATTATAAGTAAAAGAGTTGGGTTTGTTTATATAACGACATAGAGCTATTTTATAATTTCCACTGTTTGTACAATTTTGCATAACGTAAAGAGAATATTAAATACACGCACATTGCTAAAATATATTAAAAGGATCAATGTCAAATATCGTTTTCGTTAATATTCCTAGAAAAAAGTGGATACATTTTAATAACATAATAACTGTAGGTTAGAAAAATCTAATTAAACTGTTTAGTAATTTTGCCAAGGGAGGTATTTTAAAAATAAATTGAACTCACGCTAAAAATGTGAATGCAGAATCTGCAAGACGGAATAATTGTTGGAATAATATAATTAGCAAAATGTGAATGCAAATTATGCAGGCGTGTAAGAGTACATTATTGTTGGAATATTATAATTAGCATTGATTGATAAAAGGCTGTCTTTTATTTATTTTATTCACTGAATGTAATGTTTACTACTTATAATTTTTAATCAACTATTAAGCACTATTATAGACGCGTCATCACGTTCATTGGGTGCGCAATGGTTTTAGTTATGAAACTCTATTGTAAATTTTTAAAATTTAAAGTACTGGGGGAAAAAAATGCCTGAATTGATAAAGTGATATAATATGGTAGGTAAAACACGGATATTTTAAATACTGCTGGGGGTTTTATAGGAGAGGCGTAGAGAGAGGGGGGGGGGGACATATGTCCCCGGTTGCCGACCTAAGGGGGCGCCAAAGTGGGTTGGAAAAAAATTGCGGGGGGGGGTGGTGGAAATCGAAAGTTTGAGGGCGGTGGGAGGGTGCAAATCGAAAGTTTGAGGGGGGTGCAAATCAACAGTTTGAGCGGGGGGAATTTCAAACAAAAGTGGTGGAAATCGAAGGTCTGAACGGGGGGGGGGGTGAAAATCGAAAGTTTAAGGGGGTGGGGTGGAAATTGGAATTTTGAGGAGAGGGGGTGCAAATCGTAAGTTTGGGGAGTCAAATCGAAAGTTTTTCCCCGGGCGCCGGAAAGGGTCGCTACGCCTCTGTTTTGTAGTCATTCACTGTGTCAGACGCGTTCGGCGGCGCTCGGAAAGGGCGCGATTTGGCGCTACGGGCTAGACTGTGAGCAATATGCCTTTATGATTGCACTTAAATTGTGTTTATGTTATGAGTGTTATGTTTGTTTTTTTCGTTTGTTTGTTTTTTTGCGTTCGTTTATGTTGTGTTTAGTTTTGTTCTGTTCCCAAGTTGGTACATTTAAAAAAGATTTACCGTGGCGGAGCACGGGATGCATCTAGTATATATATAAGCGGCTAGGTAGTGTGTCAGTCCGTCATCGCTATAGATTTTGGAACCATAAAAGTAAACATCGCTCCATGTAGTGCTTTGCAGTGCATCGCATTGTCTTATTATAAGTAATAGAGTAGGGTTTGTTTATATAACGACATAAAGCTATTTTATAATTTCCACTGTTTGTACAATTTTGCATAACGTAAAGAGAATATTAAATACACGCACATTCTAAAACATATTAAAAGGATCAATGTCAAATATCGTTTTTGTTAATATTCCTAGAAAAAGTGGATACATTTTAATAACATAATAACTGTAGGTTAGAAAAATCTAATTAAACTGTTTAGTAATCTTGCCAAGGGAGGTATTTTAAAAATAAATTGAACTCACGCTAAAAATGTGAATGCAAAATCTGCAAGACGGAATAATTGTTGGAATAATATAATTAGCAAAATGTGAATGCAAATTATGCAGACGTGTAAGAGTACATTATTGTTGGAATATTATAATTAGCATTGATTGATAAAAGGCAATCTTTTATTTATATTATTCACTGAATGGACTGTTTACTAATTATAATTTTTAATCAACTATTCTCCATTATTATATTAAGACATCACGTTCATTAGGTGCGCAATGGTTTTAGTCATGAAACTTTATTGTAAATTTTAAAAAGTACTGAAAAAAAATGCATGAATTTATAAAGTGCAATATGGTCGGATATTCTAAATACTGCCTTTAATTTATTTTATACACTGAACGTATTGTTTACTAATTATTATTCTTTCGGTTTGTGGACAAGCTAGGGGTTTTATAGCAGAGGCGTAGCAAGGGAGACGGTATATGTCCCCGGGCGCCGACCTTAGGGGGCGCCAAAGTGGGTTGGAAAAAATTTGCCGGGGGGGGGGTGGAAATCAAAAGTTTGAGGGCAATGGGAGGGTGCAAATAGAAAGTTTGAGCGGGGGGGATTTTAAATCATGAGTGGTGCAAATCGAAAGTCTGAGGGGAGGTACAAATCGAAAGTTTAAGGGGGTAGGGTGGAAATTGAAATTTTGGGGGAAGGGGGTGCAAATCGTAAGTGTGAGGGGGGTCAAATCGAAAGTTTGTCCCCGAGCGCCGGAAAGGGTCGCTACGCCTCTGTTTTATAGTCATTCACTGTGTCAGACGCGTCCGCCGGCGCTAGGAAAGGCCGTGATTTGGCGCTACGGGCAAGACTGTGGGCAATATGCCTTTGATATTGCATTTAAATTGTGTTTATGTTATGAGTGTTGTGTTTGTTTTTTTCGTTCGTTTGTGTTGTGTTTAGTTTTGTTCTGTTCCCAACTTGTTACATTTAATAAAGATTTACCGTGGCGGAGCACGGGATGCAGCTAGTATATATATATATATATATATATAGTATATAGTATATAGTATATATATATATATATATATATATATATATATATATATATATATATATATTTATTTATTTATTTATTTATTTATTTATACATACATATAGGGCCCCCAAAAAATTCCAGCCGGGGACTGTGCTCAAGCTTTAATTTAATTAGCATGTGACATAGCTTTAGTTGATTGATCAGATTTAATTAGAATAATCCCATCTTAATTAACCTGATTAATTGTTCAACAAAATTGAGCCAAGTTGAATGTGGCCGATGACCTGAGTTAATTAACTAAAGTGTTCACCAGGAGCCTCAGGTCTGGTCAGCAACTTGAACAGTTTCCTGTGGGTCAAAGTTCAACAATTCTCTACCCGGACCATACAGATCCGGCTCTTCACACATCTGCACAAGTAGGTCACGCCAGTTACTCTAAGGTCATGTAGGTCACACTAAGGTCATATAGTGCTACATGGGCTGATTTGACTTTTACTGCGTTATTTTATTAATGAAATTATTGTGATTACATCATATTAATTAAATTATTTTTAATTGTTTCGCGTTCTCTGTAAATATTCATATGTCAAAATATTATGACCAAAGGATTTCATATGACGTACGGTTAGGGCCAAAAGTTTTCATATGACGTAATGTTATGACGATCTATTTTTCAGCCTCTCTCTGAGATGGCACCTTGGCAGAAAGACAGGCGAAATGCTGAGGGTGGTCGACAGAGGAACCAACAGCATTAACACGTTACTTAGGTAGGACGTCGCGGGGGGGGGGGGGGGAGGAGGGTGCTACTCTTTAGGGGTGAAGTGACTGGTCCTAAAACGTTGGATTTGAAACAACTTAAGATTGGATGTATCTAACACAGTGCTTCTTAAACGTTGGATTTGAAACAACTTAAGATTGGATTGTATCTAACACAGTGCTTCTTAAAATGAGTTCATCGAACCCCCGGGGTTAGGTGAGTCAATCTCAAAGGTTCAGTGGAGGTCAACACACACCCGACTCATAGGATTCACGATCGCATTTTGTCAGTGTGGACGATACAACTATTAAGAAGGGTTCGATAGAAGCGCATATGAAACTGGTAGGGCCCGGCACCTCCAAAAAGGTGAAGAACCGTTCTCTAACACATGAGGTTCGTGACTGGACGTCCTGAGAAACGGGTCAGGGAATTGACCATAGGTCAAACTGCTCCACTGAATCAGCGGTCAGACTGCCCCTGGGGCGTCCCGTGGCTCACCCCCTGGGGCGTCCCGTGGCTCACCCCCTAGGGCGTCCCGTGGCTCACCCCCTGGGGCGTCCCGTGGCTCACCCCCTGGGGCGTCCCGTGGCTCACCCCCTGGGGCGTCCCGTGGCTCACAGCCTGGGGCGTCCCGTGGCTCACCCCCTGGGGCGTCCCGTGGCTCACCCCCTGGGGCGTCCCGTGGCTCACCCCCTGGGGCGTCCCGTGGCTCACCCCCTGGGGCGTCCCGTGGCTCACCCCCTGGGGCGTCCCGTGGCTCACCCCCTGGGGCGTCCCGTGGCTCACCCCCTGGGGCGTCCCGTGGCTCACCGAACGAGCACTATAAAAACGTGTGTCTCGAGCTCGTAGACCGTCCCTGTCAGCACTCTGATGGGTACCTAACTCATGTTATGTCAGCACTCTGATGGGTACCTAACTCATGTTAGGGAAAGTAAAGGCAGCTGGGTACATGGCTGACCACACTATCCCTTCAAATGCCAAGGTAACAAAAGCAGGTGAACTCTACTTCAGTTGCCCCATAGACCGTCAGGTTTGAAAGGGGAACTTTACTTAGATAATGTGTTCAAGTCCGTGTTTCTTCCAGACTTCTTTCTCCGGGGGGGGGGGGGGGGGGTCTTAATATTTTTGGGGGTGGACTACATTTCCATGGAGGGGGAGGGTGGCGGACACTGGTAAAAGAATTTCTATATAAATTCCATTTAGACTTTCTTCGCCCCCCCCCCCCCCCCAAAAAATGCCTGGAAGAAACTCTGGTGGAGGTTGATTTGTATTGTCGTTGACGTGTTTCCACAGTTACGTCTTGTTTCAAGTGTTACCGACCATCGCCGATATCGTCATCGCTATCATCTACTTCGTCACGGCTTTCAACTATTTGTTTGGACTTATTGTCTTTTTTAGCATGGCGCTTTATCTTGGTGAGTCAAGGGTTAAATTCATCTTGGTGAGTCAAGGGTTAAATTCATCTTGGTGAGTTAAGGGTTAAATTCGTCTTGGTGAGTCAAGGGTTAAATTCATCTTGGTGAGTCAAGGGTTAAATTCATCTTGGTGAGTCAAGGGTTAAATTCATCTTGGTGAGTCAAGGGTTAAATTCATCTTGGTGAGTCAAGGGTTAAATTCATCTTGGTGAGTCAAGGGTTAAATTCATCTTGGTGAGTCAAGGGTTAAATTCATCTTGGTGAGTCAAGGGTTAAAGTTGTAAATGTCCGAAGATGTTGTAAGTGTTACATGTGTCCATGTGTTGCTACATCTGGTGCTACATCTGGTGCTACATCTGGTGCTAAATCTGGTGCTACATAGTTGTCTCTACCACCACCTCCCCTTCCCCCAGCCGCTACGGTTCAGGCAACAGAATGGAGAACCAAATACCGCCGTCTTAGAAACCAGAAAGATAATGAGGCCAATGCCAAGGCCGTTGATTCGCTTCTCAACTTTGAAACGGTCAAGTACTACGCTGCTACTGACTGGGAGATGGATCGATATCAAAAAGCAATAATCGAATACCAGGTCAGTTCTCTGTCACTTTCCCGCCGATTTTTAACGGCTAAATAACCGGACCTAGTGGTAGTTTAACGTCTGTGGTTTGTCTTACAGCTGATCTAGTGGTAGTTTAACGTCTGTGGTTTGTCTTATAGCTGGCCGAGTGGAAGTTTAACGTCTGTGGTTTGTCTTATAGCTGGCCGAGTGGAAGTTTAACGCCATCTTCAACCTGCTGAGCCTGGCCCAGAACTCCATCAACACGGCCGGTCTGGCGGCTGGTGCCTTGCTCTGTGCCTGGGCGGTCACGAATGGCATCAACGACCTTCACCTTAATGTTGGGGACTATGTACTTTTCGGGACCTACGTGTCTCAACTCTATGGTCCTCTCAATACTCTAGGAAATACATACAGGTAGTTTGGTCATCTCAACGAGGGACATACTGACAAGAAATACCAAGACTTGTTAGATATAAACACAACAAGAATAACGTGGGACAAATTAGACACACACACACACACACACATATATATATATATATATATATATATATATATATATATATATATATATATATATATATATATATATATATATACACACTGGTATGCCCGTCCCTGCGCGTTGCCGCGGGGTTTAAAGAAAGTCCCAGGATAAATCGCACCTCTGATTCAGTTTAGTGAATGACTATAATGATACTTCTTATCCATATTCTATCATACTCTATAAAACGAACCTATGCACCGTAGGGCTACCAGGATAGCACAGTGCGCCGCATCCTGTCGGGCGCCGGCGAACTTGCCTGATTCAATTTCATGAACGACTAAACGCCCCATCTTATTCATAGTCTATCGCACTGTTAAAAACGAACGTAGACCCCATAGCGCTCACGGGATAACAAGGGGCGCCAAATTGCACCCTTCCCAAAGTTTCATGCCAATTAGCCGAAAGGTGTAGCTATAAATAAAAGACAATGAAATCTGACGAAATATATTAGCAGGGTTTCATCAATGCTTTACCAATCCTATATTATTAGACCTTATTTTCTAAAACTGAGCTATTTAAATGTAAACAATGCCTGTGCTTGGAATATATTTATCGGGGCACCAGTTTTACCTACATTATCGCCCCCCCCCCCAAAAAAAAGCCCAGGGCGCAAAATTGCACTCTGTTGGGGCGCCGGCGGATGCGCCTGATTATGTTTAGTGAACGACTATAATGGCCCATTTTATCCATTGTCTATTGCACTGTTTAAAAAAGAACGTAGACGCCATAGCGCTCATTGGAAAGACTGGGGCAGCCCGTGTCAAATGTAATTATTGTTCGACCAGAAACCTTCTCGGGAGTATTCTCATCAACTCTCCAAAGTTTCAATGCACTCGGATGAACCTTTTCGAACTGCATCCGCCTTTTTAATATATATATATATATATATATATATATATATATATATATATATATATATATATATATATATATATACCGTATATAGAGAAAAATCGCTCGCTCCTCGAGCGCCGTCCTTAAGAAATTAAAAACCAAATGTTTGATAGAAACCTTTACTGGAGTGTTCTTATCAACTCCCTTAAGTTTCATGCGATCGGATGAACGGTATGAACCTCATCCGACTTTTATATATACCGTATATAAGAAAACATCGCACCCTACCGGGACGCCATCTCTGTAAATTTGATTTATTTAAGCAGGAACCTCCCCATGAGCATTCTTAACAACTTCCCAAAGTTTCATTGCGATGTGATGAAAGGTGTAAAAATGCATACAAGACATACACACACACATACATTGCTTTATATATAGACAGATAGATAGATAAAGATTGATATCATGTATATAATATATATATATATATATATATATATATATATATATATATATATATATATATATATATATATATATATATATATATATATATATATATATAAATGGCTGGTGGTAGTGTGTCAGTCAGTCCGTCATTCCGTCATCGCTATACATTTTGGAACGATAATAGTGAACATCGTAGTGTCTTATTGTAAGTAGAAGAGTAGTATTATTACTTATTATAGTATTATTATTTATGTAAAACTTAATTTTTTTTATAGTTGGCAAAGTTTTTACTCTTTTGCATTACGTGAAGAAAATGTTAAATAAATCACACTGCTAAAACATGTTAAACGGATCAATGTCAAATAATAATTTCACATAGATTCTTACAAAACAAGTTAATAAAAAGTCTAGTGACAATTTAAGCGCAATTTCCTTATGTTATCCATAACGATTTTAAATTTTTTGTGACCGAACGAAAGGATATTTTTTGCGATAAAAAAAAGACAACTATATCAACCTATATCAACGGAAATAGTTTTATTTTATCGAGTAGGCCTACACAATGCTCAGTTTAAAAAAGAAGTAAATCTATATATATAATTCTCTTCTGGGAGCCGCTAGAAAACAAGCTGCAAACGCGCCTAGAAAACAAGCTGTAAACGCGCTCCCTACCTCCCCACCCCTACATGGTTTTAGTGACCTGTGTTCACTCTAAATGTTTACAAGCAGAGCCAACGATTTTAAACGTAGGGGGGGGGGGGGGGAAGGAAAGGGGGGGGGGGTTATGGTCCTTAACGAGCTACTTATAGTGTTTTAAAGAAATATTTTCAGTGGCAGTGTTGGTACTGTCGAATTCACAAATTTTGAATTACTGAAAAGTAGAAAAAACAACAACTAAATAGCGGCGTATGTTATGCCGCGGGCCGGCTCGTATCCTATAAATATAAACTTATTTGTTCTTAATTAATTTTTTGTGACCGAACGAAAGGATATTTTTGAAAACTTTCTTCGGCAATATTGTTCTAAATTATGGCAGGAATCGATTGGTAAATGTTTCAAGTCGCTAAGTGGTCTGGTTGCCGAGATATGGGCCAAAAACTGCATTTTTTCGAGGTTTTTTTTTGCTTTTCCGGGAAATCCAGGAAGGAATTCCGGGAATTTTTTTGGCCCACAATCATCCTCGGAACTTGCTTAACATATTTGCTTTGGAACTAGTCCTTGATATTGCTTCGTTGAGGAGGAGATACGACTTTAAGCTGCGGACACACATCCATCCATCCATCCATCCATCCAGAAATGACGAGTTAATAATCGCAATTCCTTTAAGGAAATTGCGCTAAAAATGGATACATTTTAATAACAGTAGGGTCAAAAAAGTAATTACTTACAATGTTTAATAATTTAAAAAGAAATTCAACTCACGTTAAATAAAAGTGAATGCAAATTCCGGACGTTTATGAGGACGTTATTGTTGGAATAATAAAATAAGCATGGATTGATAAAGTGCAATATGGTAGGTAAAACACGGATATTTTAAATACTGCGTTTTGGTTTATTTTATATACTGAACATACTGTTTACTAATTACTATTTTTAATCAATAACAGTTTTGATAGCCGCCCCTAAATGTACTTTATGTTTAGTTCTATCTTTCGGCTGGCAGACAAGCTGGGTATTTTAAAGTCGTTCACTAAATTGAATCCGTTTGGCGCCCTGGGCTATCCATTGAGCGCTATGTTATGCTTTTGCGTTTGTGTTTCGTTTGTGTTTTCCTTTGCGTTGTGTTTGCGTTTGTGTTTCTTTTGTATTTGTGTTTGCGTTAACGTTTGCGTTTTTGTTTGTTGTTTTTTCGCGTTTGCATTTGCGTTTTTTGCGTTTGTGTTTGATTTGTGTTTGTTTTTTGATAGAATGACTCAACAAGCTTTTATCGATATGTTTGTGATTGATTTGTGTGTTTTTTATTCGTTAGAATGATTCAACAAGCTTTTATCGATATGTTTGTGATTGATTTGTGTTTGTTTTTCGTTAGAATGATTCAACAAGCTTTTATCGATATGTTTGTGATTGATTTGTGTTTGTTTTTCGTTAGAACGATTCAACAAGCTTTTATCGATATGTTTGTGTTTGATTTGTGTTTGTTTTTCGATAGAATGATTCAACAAGCTTTTATCGATATGTTTGTGATTGATTTATGTTTGTTTTTCGTTAGAATGATTCAACAAGCTTTTATCGATATGTTTGTGATTGATTTGTGTTTGTTTTTCGTTAGAATGATTCAACAAGCTTTTATCGATATGTTTGTGATTGATTTGTGTGTTTTTTATTCGTTAGAATGATTCAACAAGCTTTTATCGATATGTTTGTGTTTGATTTGTGTTTGTTTTTCGTTAGAATGATTCAACAAGCTTTTATCGATATGGAAAACATGTTTGATCTACTGGAACAAGGTGTCGAGGTAAAAAAAAAGTTTTAGTGTTAAATAAATAACTTCAAGCCCAAGTGTTAAAAAACTAACCCCACTCCACTACATCACCCACCACATCACTCACCACATCACCCACCACATCACTCCACCACATCACCCCACCACATCACCCCACCCCACATCATCACCCCACCACATCACCCACCACATCACCACATCACCCCACCACATCACCTACTACATCACCCACCACATCACATCACCCCACCACATCACCCCGCCCCACCACATCACCCCACCAACTCACCCACCACATCACCCCACCACAACACCCCACCACATCACCCACCACATCACCCAACACATCACCCCACCACCCCACCACATCACCTCACCACATCACCCCACCACATCATCACCCCACCACATCACCCCACCCCACCACATAACCCAAAACATCACCCCACCACATCATATCACCCCACCACATCACCCACCACATCACCCACCACCCCACCCCACCACATCACCCACCACATTACCCCACCACATCACCCCACCACATCACCCACCACATCACCCACCACATCACCCCACCACATCACCCCACCACATCACCCCACCCCACCACATAAACCCCACTCCACCACATCACCAACCACATCACCAACCACATCACCCCACCACATCACCCCACCACATCACCCCACCACATCACTCCACCACATCACTCCACCACATCACTCCACCACATCACACTACCACATCACTCCACCACATCACACTACCACATCACCCCACCACATCACCCACCACATCACCCCACCACATCACCCACCACATCACCCACCACATCACCCACCACATCACCCACCACATCACCCACCACATCACCCCACCACATCACCCACCACATCACCCACCACATCTGCCACCACATCTGCCACCACATCACCCCAACCCACCACATCACCCCACCACCCCACCACCCCACCCCACCACATCACCCACCACATCAACCCAACACATCATCCACCACCACACCACATCAACACACCACACCACATCACCCAACACATCACTCCGCCACATCACTCCACCACATCACCCCACCACATTACTCACCACATCACCCACCCCACCACCCCGCACCACCACATAAACCCCACCCCACCACATCACCCACCACATCACCCCACCACATCACTCCACCACATCACCCCACCCCACCACATAAACCCCACCCCACCACATCACCCACCACATCACCCCACCACATCACCCCACCACATCACCCAACCACATCAACCACCACATAAACCAACACATCACCCAACACATCACCCCACCACATCACCACACCACATCTGCCACCACATCACCCCAACCCACCATATCACCCCACCACATCACCCCACCACATCACTCCACTACATCACCCACCACATCACCCACCACATCACCCACCACATCACCCACCACATAACCCACACATCAACCCACCTCACCACATCACCCCACAACATCACCCCACCACATCACTCCACCACATCACTCCACCACATCACTCCACCTCACCACTTCACCCCACCCCACAACATCACCCCACCAAATCACCCCACTACATCACTCACCACATCACCTACCACATCACCCCACCACATCACCCACCACATCACCCCACCACCCCACCACATAAACCCCACCCACCACATCACCCACCACATCACCCACCACATCACCCCACCACATCACTACACAACATCACCCCACCACATCACCCCAACCCACCATATCACCCCACCAAGTTCAAGTTCTAGCACACAACACCCGTTCACCTTTTTGCTCTCCCTTTTATTCACCACTTTCTCTCCCCTTACGTACATGAGCGATCTCACCCAAAAGCATGAAACAACACATGACGATCGCTCAGACAGTCCTTCCGCTAGCCAGGTACTCTTCATTCATGCAAAACACAATATAATAAGGATACATAATTATACAGTCTGTGACACGTCCCCCCTTCAATTAAAATTTTGTGTAACAAAATTTATAAATACAATATTGGTAGGGCAGGATCATGTGCCAGACAACAAAATTTTTATACATCTCAAAAAACATGGAAAAATACATTCTTTGTAGACTAATGCACAAGCATTATGTGTAATGTATTCAAATATGAGAAAGAAAAACATTTCAATTACCAAGTAATTGTATAAACAAGACAAATGAGTTTAGTGAATTACCAAACTATAATACATAGTTGAAATTATCAAAGACTTAATTCAACTCATGAATTAAATAATTATATCCTATGTAGTAAAAAACTTCCTTAGCATCAAGGCATGTTATTACGACGCATGATTAATATACTTTGTTGTCTCCCCTAGTTGACCCATTTCAGACAAATCTAGGTCACAACACAACAACATTGCCTTTCACAGGTATGGCTAACACACAATTCATCATTGAGACTTCCGTCTTATTGTTATGCGGAATAATAGTCTCTAACTTTTACTTGATTTACTTTATTCACTGTTAATTAATAGTATAGAATAGGTTTAACATAATACAGTTTACAATCTTTTGAAATAGTACACAATTTATATTACTGATACAAATTGTTTGATATCCATATTTTACAGTTACAGACTGTATAATATTAATAAACTGTCAATTGATAATTTATCTTAGCATCCTCTATAGCATGAGTAATCGTTCTCGTGCAGTTGACGATGACCCGTATGCCATCTCTCCCTCAAATTGTAGCTTTTAGCTGTGCTACCATAATTATTTCCTAGAATTCGTGTAACTTGTGTTACTTCATTTGTTTTAATATTCTCTTCTGGTTTCTGAACAACGTCAGTAGTTATCTTGCTTTGTAAACGTTCGTTTGGTTCATCAACCAACTTGATATAAATATTATGGCATTGCTTTGGCCGCTCATAATACATCTTGCTTCGGTATCTTTCATTAGAACTTGATACATTATTTCTTAACTTACTGTATTTTTCACATGACTTTCTTTGTACATAATAATTGTTTCTTCTCTGATTTGCCAACCTATGCCAACATTGATTTTGGTAATGACCTGTTTTTCCGCAGTAAAAACATCTAGATTTTGGCTTCTTATAAACATGGTGACTGTATTCATAGTTTGCTAAATTTCTTTTTCTTTCATTCTGTGCATTAATGACATTAATGACATTCTTATTAACATGTTGACTGTATTCATAGTTTGTTACATTTCTTTTACTTTCATTCTGTGCATTTTTATTAACATTGTAATTTGTAGATATTGTTTCATCTTTCTTAACTTCCTTGTGCTTCTTTATTGATTCTAGTTCACACATAAATTTCTGGGTTAATTTCTCCATTTCTTTGTTAAATTTATCCTTGAGTTCTAGTATATCTTCTTTATAGTTTGACTCCAATTTTCGAAGTAAATCTTCAATAGGTACGTTCTCTTCATTGTGGCTTATTAAGTTCACTGATTCATTAATCATCATTAGTTTATCATGATTCCTGCCATTCTCCGATGGACTTATTAAATCATCACTGCCATTGACTGATGGGTTTATTAAATCATTTTGACTACCATTCTCTGATGGACTTGTTTCTTGTTGACTGCCATTCTCTGATGGACTTACGATACAACTTTCAATAATATTCTCGTGTACCTGCGTTTGAGTCAATAAAGAGTCAATCTTAAGACATTCTAATGTATCTGTCACCTTTAAATCATTATTAAGTTCAACCTCTGTTTTATCCTTGGGTTTCAATTCTTCCTGGACTATGTTACTTAGTTCTTCATTCCAAAGGTTGCCAATATTTACTTCTTCAAGTTCTGCTTTAAATTCTGTCTGTTCACTTTCTAATTTTGGTTCATTTGTGTCTGTTATAGCTTTCATTTCTAATAGTTCTTGTTCATATGCTAGTTCATGTAGGCCAACTTGTTTTTTCATAGTTTCAGCCCTATTATCTGCTCTCTGTTTTCTGTTTCTTTTTTTCCGTTTTCCTTTTGATTGTACAGTCTCCTCTACTTTATAGCCATCTGACATTTCTTCTTCTTTTTGCACCTCTGTAATAGCTCTTGATCTATTACGCACTATTTCTGTCTCACCATCTAATTCTCTTATTACTTTTCCATGAGCTAGTCTGGGTTGTTCATTTTCTTCGTCCCATGCTTCTAATGCTTTTTCTATGTCTCTGTCAAATCGAGTGTTTGCCCAGGCTATCTGCTTCTTCATCTTCTTAATGCCTTGCGCCCTCGCTAGTGCTAGATATTCTTCAAAACATAACATTTTGATATATTTTCTATTTATGACATAAAATATAAATTCATTAGTTGACAATAGATAAATGTTAATTAATTTACAATACCCTTTCTTGTATTCTGGCTTTGTTCAGTTGATTAGAGACATCTAGTAATCCAAGAAAAGTTCATAGTACATATATAGTACAAAAATAGTTCACTTTGTTGATTCCAAAAAGTTGAAAAAATTCAAAATAGTTCTAGTAGCCTGTTACAGAGTAGAAATTTGTCCAGTTTTAGATAAGACATCTTTAGGAACAGTTTAGGAACAGTTACAAAAATAAACTTGATCTGCTAAATCCAAACAGTAGAAAAACTTGAACAGCTAATCCATATAGAAAAAACTTGAACAGCTAAATCCAAACAGTAGAAAAGAAACACTAAGACTTGATCGGCTAAATCCAAACAGAAAAAACACACAGACGATATTTACTCGACATTGGTGAGACAATATCGAAATAAGGTGATAAAAATTATCACGTTGATGACTTGACTTGAACAAAACGTCTGACTTGACTACAGCAACCCTTCTGACTTGAGTGTAGATAGATGACTTTCAAGAACTTGACGTACTTGGTAAACAGTGGAAGACCACTTCAAAAACGTTGAAAACTGCTTACAATGATAATGTGACAATTCTTGATCACTTGTAGTAACACTGTAACTTCGTTGACGATTTCAGACTTCAATATAATTTACCAATGTAACAACATCA